ATTCAACTGCTAAACTTAGGGAAAAATGAAAAAACTTCAAGAAATGAAGCTACTTAAATATTAGGGTAAAATTCAATTATCATCGAAATACTTAACCCATCAAATAAGAACTTACTTGGTATCGAACTCGGCAGCCAATTTCTCCAATTTTGGCCTCAAAAAGATGCATTTCCGGCACCAATTAGCCATCCTGTTACAAATTAATTTGAAGTCACATTTGTTTTGAATTTGCGAAGCAATACGATATTTATAGTTTCGGTCTACCGCTCAGATTGCATCCAGAAAATTGGGCATCAACTAGATAGTCTACCCCTGAGCTCGATCGAGTTAACGAAAGAAAATAGGGTAAAAAAGAGAGATACCAATCAATAATTATGGGTTGTGAAAGCTCTTTGGCTCTATCCAAAGCTTTATCTAATTGCTCAGAATCTTGAATTGGTTCCATTTCGACTGCAGTAGGTCTTGATAAATCTGGCCAAAAGCTATATGTTTTGATAATATCTTTCTTTGCAATTTTCTTCCACTGTTCACTTTTATTTCTATCAAATCCAAACCCATATGATTTTAAGCCATTTGCAGTATTGCTCAATAACTGCTGCTGCTGTTGGATTTCTGATCTGCACAGAATCTGCGAATTTGGTAATAATATTGACATTTCTTTCTTTTCCTTGCCTGCTGAAGAAGAAGAAGAGGAGGATAAGATTTTTGGAGCTGATAATATATTTCAGTGGGAATACTATGTATGAATTATCTTTAGTTTTGTCAATCTAGATATTTTGGTCAAGAAAAAAGTCACTCATCTTATATTTTGATATCATACCTATATCCTAAGATAACGAAAAATATGGCTAGAGCGCACGAAATATAGTCAAGATTTTTTTTACACTTTTCGTCGCTAAAGCTTTACGACTCGAGAGTTTTTTCTTTAAATTAATTTATTAATAAATGCTCGACTTAATAGTGATTTGGCTAAAACAATTTTTTTACACGTTTCTTTCAAGTCAAGGATTCAACTTGTTTAATTATTTCCATTACTCGACCTACAAGTTTATCTCTCTGTGTGTGTGTGTTTCAAACTCTAAATTTGTTTTTTTGTGATTCCATTTTGATAAATGAGACAATGAAATAGGGTGATGCTTGAATTTCCCCCCCAAAAAAAAAAAAAAAAAGTATATTGGACCCCACAGGAGCAATGAAGTGACCTAGACAAAAGGATATTGGAGTAAATCTATTATCGTCATATTTCTCATTAATAGATCTTCCTAAAATTCACACATTTTTGGTTCCTCTTAATTATTCATACCCTAATCTTACAATTTGTTACGTTAATTACAATTAACCATAGTAATAAGGGATGGGATTTTGTAAAAAATTGTGATTCGTTTGTACTTTCTTAAAATATTTTGGGCTAATAGTTGCAATTCGTTATTTATTTATTTATTATTATTATAATTATAATTATTGTTATCTTTTCGATTTATTTAACTGTGAAAGTATATTTGTCATTTCATAATTTTATCGAGAAAATGAATGATAGGACATTATTCTACACTAAACGTTTCAAACATGGACGTGTTGTTCTCTTTTCAAAAGGTAGAAATTTTTGATAGTTTGCCCAAGATAGGGAGCTATTGTGCAGTTTAGCCTAAGTTAAAGAGAATAAATTACATCTTTTGAGAATCTGAGTGAAAAAAAATCTTAGCCAAACATGCTTAATATTCTTATTTCGACTTCTCCTCTATACACTTGGGTTCTCAATAAATCTTAGGAAAAAAAAATCTTTACTTATATCGTTTATTTTTATTGAGCCTATACACTAGAAAGCTAAAATAAACTTTATTCTCTATAATTTAAAATCAGTGATATGAACCATTCTTTTGCCGCTCAATACATCCATTGCTACATCTATAAAATTTTATTGACAAGAAACTTGAGATTCCAAATCAATTAGTAAAGCAAGCCAAAAATTTAATTTCATAAATATAAGTTGATTAAAGAACAATTTTTTTCATCTACTAGTGAGATAAGATTTCATGCCCTTACTTGTCAAAATAAATAAATTGTTAGAGATCTGCGCTAATCTTTCTATTGATGGTATAATATATAATTATGAAAACAAAATTATAAGAATCAATCTAAAGCCCAGTTTGGTACACATTAATATAAAAATGAGAATGAAAAATATAGTCGTTATGGATCCTACACAAGAGATAGAAAGTCAAATATAAGGGTTTAATGTGATAAATAACGGTCATATTTTTCATTTTAATGGACCAATAATGAGAAACAAACGAGGGCTAAAATATTTTTTGTCATTTGGAATATTTAATTAAATTTGTTATTAGAAAAACCCGTGAATCAAATAAATCCAAATGAAGGTGAACAGTTGACAGGCTATATTTCATTAGAGTAAATGCGTGACAGGTCTAAATGGGTATCTTTTTCGCCGTCGGTGGATACAATTTGTAGGCAATAATATGCAGACTAATGTCATTGAAACATTACACCTTTTGGCATTTTCGTAATTCTCATAATAGCTTATAATTTAGTTAAAAATAAGTGATCATGTAGGATTTCGTACTCCTAGCATTTTATTAGAGCGTATTATATGGTCTTCATACTCAATACTATTCATGATATATGTAATGTCAGGTCGAATATAGCATTGCACAATATTGATCTCGACATTCGAATATCAGTACGATATTAGTTTAAACTATTCTCTATAAAATACTTGAGGGGATCTTTATATTTTATTAGTCCCTCAATATTAATTTGTTCACCCTGACTCTCAAGATATTGAATTGTCAATCAAATATATGTTCTCGATCTTACGAAATATGTGAATAATAAGATATAACTCATATGTATGAATAAAAAAATATATTTGATCAACTTAATTTTTTGATAAGAGTCTCAAGAAGGCAAATGGAGTTCATTACCTAGGCATGCTTTAGGTATTTTATTTGGAAATGAGTAAGCCTTTAATTCCGCTCATTGCTCATGACCATCTCTTAAAATTAAATTTTTACACTATCTTGTCCAATGTATATGAAAAATGTACTAGTATCTCTACTTAAAAGTTACAATAAAGTCATCTAGTCAAGATTAAAAATAGGGGAGTGAAGAGATAAGCTGATGTGTCAAAAAATGATAGGGTATTTTTGTTTTAATTTTTCAAACTGTTCAATCATCTGTCGACTGGATGTGTAGCCCGATTGTAAATGTTATTACTTTCGCGATCAAGACAAATTGGTGGCCCCTTGTGTAAAATCTCACTACCTAAATGCAGACTTAAAAATTTCTTAATTAATGGGATGGAAGACTATTTGAATTGAATTTTGAGGCAAATACACCGTACAATTGTAATACACGGGTCCACACGCAAATGAATTTTGACAATCTGTTTTCCATTTTCTTCTTCTTTGTGATTAAATGGTTATCGCTGGAGAGTTTTATGATCTTGTAAAGGATGGGTACTTTATTATAAAGATTTTATCCTTATTTTCACTATTATCCTGAAATATAAATATCAATTTCAATTTTAGATGAATCGATCGAACTTATTGAGAGAGTCTTGAAATTTTGTGTCTCCATCTCCACAGAGTGAGAGTCCTATCTATTTGCGTCACAATTTCTCGCTCTCCACTATTATCTAATCTCTTTTCTTGCATTCCCTGCGTAATTCCTAATATTTTTCTCTAGAAAATCTTTGTTTTAGTTAAACTGAAACTCTCTCTCTCTCTCCCTCTTCTCTTGCTTTCTCTGCGAAATTCCTAAACTTCTTTTTCCATCACACAGACACATTTCTGGGATTTCTGGGAATTGCAGATTGCAGATGGCAGATGTAACAAAATATGCACCCGTCAATGGCAGAACCTTGATATCAGACTTCAAAAGCCATTTCTCTCTTCAAAAAACCAAAAGAACTGTTGCATATGGATTTGTGTTTGTTTTTATTGGCTTTACCATTTTTCTTGCT